AACTGAAAACACACCAATTCGGCTACTCTACTGCCTTACGTAGATCCCAACTTTTTTCACTCCCCTCTCATTCGTTCCTTTCTTGTTTCTTTCACCAAATTTCTAACCCAACCAGTTACTAAAATTGAGTTTCTAAGAAGTTCCCGTATCGCATACTCGATGCATTTATGTTTTCATGCTGATACTTGCCATTCGCTAATCGTGCTTTGGCCTGCCCGCCTGTGCCGATCTTGTTGCATTCCCTGGTGTCGAGTCACGAATCCCCTCTACAGACAGGAAAACGGCGATGATGTCGTGCTCTGCTGTTGAAACTTGAATGCTCTGATCGATGCTGACGAATCTGCCTGTCATAGGCACTCAATAAAGATCTGACGACCATTTTCGTTTTATCAGTAGTTATGAATGTCCGTTGAAGATTATGCAGTGAACTCAAAATATGTTTACTCACGGAGTTCAACTGTAAAAACAACACAGAAGTAGGGTTTATTTCATAGTTCAGTGTATTCGCGTATGTCTTCATTTTCCTTGAGTCAATCGTTATGAAAACCCTCACTCCGAAAGGTTAGCATTTTCAAGACTGAGTCGTTGAGTAATCCACATGAGTATTTGCTCTTTTGAAAGCACTTCAGACGGTTCACTTAAGTGGCATACGTACATACAAAACTTAGGGTTTGGGAGACATCTGTTCTCTTCTAAGAAACATATCGTCGAAACTACCATCCTTGGTAGCTTTCTTGCTAAAGACAGAACAGAAATCTCAATGGAAAAGGTGTAGACAGAATGCAACAATCCTTGCTACCCAAGGCACTTGTTTGAGGCTGACCAAAGCTTTCCTTTCTTAGTCTTCTTAATTCTTCTAAGAGGAGATCACATTTTTAATCGCAAGGGCATTCTATCACACAATGACAAAAAACGACTGAAAATCGGAATACCGATGATGAAGTGAGCACGAGTAAACTTGATAAGACCACTGTGCTTGCCTATTGCATGCACCTCTACTCCATAGCTCGGGAATAGCCGTTCTTCGACATGTGTACCGGTAAGGCAGTTAATATGGAAGGGGGTGGTAACTTCTCCCCGAACATCGCATTGCGAACGGCGCATCCGATCGCGCGATTTAGAGGGGAATGTTCGTGTTCCCAGTGGAAGGATAAGGTAGCCGCCGCAGCTGCCCCCTTTACTCACTTTCCTGGTCCATTTCCTAGAAGCTGGCTCACGGCATCCACCACCACGCCCAATCACTCTTATCACGCCTTGAGGCCATAGGTAGCTAGAGATCATTTGAGTAGTGGAGAGAGCAGAGTGCTAGGTGAAGAAGAGTATGCTGATTGGTGATAAGAGACAGATAAGCGCTTGTGAGACACTGTTGGAAGGCAGAGAGTACAGGCGATGAGGGTAAAGGGAAAAGCACAGAAAACCATGAGAAAAGATTATTGATTGAGAATTTCATGTTGAGGCAAGCTTCAATGTGTCAGGATGTGACCCTCCATGATAGCCTGTCGAGTGAAAGCTTTTTATCAAGACCCAGTCAATACCCGTCAGGAAGCGTTCAGGGATTTCAGGCTGATACAGTGGCATGCGGTGCCCAGCCGATACATGTACAAGCCGGTGCTTTTATACTCTCAGACGAGTCTAGTACCAATCACCCTACCCTGGAGGGATGGAAGACATGGTTGAATTAGGCGAATATCGTTCCGGAAATCGAACCGGTGACCGTGCTTGTGAGATGGTGCGCCCCTTGCTACAACACGACCTCCGGCTTATTCAGAATGGGATTCAAATCGCGCCGTGCTCGCTGCATTGAAGGGAGCAGCTATATGTTCATACAGTACCTTCTATAACCGGACCTCTTTTATAGGGCGCCGGTCAAAAAATCGTGAACTTGCAGCTGAACTGGCAGTCGGGTCGAACATTTGGGAAACGTGGAATCGCATCTCCTACCAGGTTTTCGAGTATGCAAAACACATGTATGGTTAACCAGAATTGTAATTATGTAACTACATCCATATCCACCAAACTCATTAGTAAAAAGCACAATGCATCGTATGACAGCACACCTTAACTTCTTGAGCGCTTACAATATAGATGCATACAGAAATAATACTCAGGAAAGGCAAACTAGCCGACTTTACAGCCGCTTACCCATAAATAACTCAAGGTTTTTGCGGATGCGAGGACAAGGCTCAGCGTTCAAAATGCAACTCTTATGAAGGGACTGCTGAGTAGCATTATTTGGGCACCTTCTAGTTTACTATATTGATATGCTGGAATGGCCTTCAAGGAGGCATCATATGCCTAATGCTAGCAAATTCTAAGAGAATTGTTTTCAAACTTAGAGCGAATGAGGAGCAACGACCTTTTTTTGCGAAAGGATTGAGAGGACAATTCGATATTATTTGAGCATTGTTCCATTTCAGCGCAATCGTTCATGACGACGCTCGCCAAGCCCACGACAATGCATCCTTCCAAGCTAACAACACTTGGCTGTGTGTGCCTCAGCTCATATCAAACATCGCCTGTCTAACCAGCGTTGCCGCTGTTTCAAATGGGGTGAGGCCCAAGAGTTTACAATCACTACCCACCTAGACTGGATTCTGAATTAATAAGTATTCAGCCTGGTGAAGCACTGCGACGTGAACTCATGAACGAATCTGCAGAAGCTGGATCGACCGCCTCCAATATGGTGAAACAAACTTTTCTTCCTTCCAATAAACTCTGACACAGACTTGAAAAAAACACTTGTGACTTGCGCAGCATTCATTTTACAGCTGACTGTAGTGTTTTCAGCCACGAACCTTGATGAATCTTATTGGAGAAGAGTTACGACAGTGGGAAAATGCTCTTCATTCATCTTCAAAACCAGGTATGGCTAGTGGCAGGGCCAGTACCGATAAAAAGCAATAGTTCTTTCTTAACTAGCTGATTGGCCGATAGTCCCTCTCTGGAACCAACTCATACCTACAAACAGTATAAGGATTAGCTTTGAAGTAAATCACAATGAGTTCGACCATGGAACAAATCTCGAAACTCCCAACAGCCCTTTCCAAGCTAGTATCGAGGCAATGACAGTGTCCGAAGTGCCAAGTGAATATGTTCGAATGATTTTTGCTGTTCAGGATTGTTTTCACTCGCTCGTCGTATCCTTGTTCATCCCAAGTTCACCAAATCCTATGCATACAACACTTTTGCTGCACTAAATAGTCTAGGAGTAGAAATGAAAATCCTCGAAGGACCGAGCGAAATGGTTCAATGGATCCAAAAGAGCCTAAAGGTAGGTGATAGTGAGTATCATAACAAAAATTTCTGAGCAAGGCACATAGCTCGACTTCCCTAACCACGGCTACAGTAGTCTACAGTACTATACCACAAGGACTTTTGTATCAGGACATTTCCAGCTCACAACACTTTTGACCTGTCCATTCGAACTATGGAGAGGTGGCGATCCACACCTGAAGAAAGAGGCAAGTTTCTTCTGCTGATATTTGCACTCTAGGGTTCCTGTAAGTGATGGAGCAACATCCTTCGCCTGTTCGGTGGATTTCAGACCATCAAAGAAACCATGACACGTGACATAATATTGGCTAAATCGAATCAACGATGCCCGATATTCGCTTGGGCCAGCCATTACCAGGTTGAATCTATAATAGTTCCCTTGATAAAAACAGCACCCATGGAAGATACTTTGGATGAACCTTCGCCTTCAGATAACCTTCAAATCAGGCATTTTTGAATCTGAGTCTGTCTTCACAAGGAGCGGAGTGGCCGACGTAAGTAACATCGAAGTTATGAATTTCACACCACGAAATACCCTATTCTGCTGCTACTGTCATCGACGAGGAAGCCTATATCCTCAGAAGTCCGAATTCAAGAGCTTCCTGATTTGGTGCTCAGACTTCTACTGTTGCGCACGTATTTACATAATCTTCTCCAAGCCGATAAGCATTTCAAAAGTAGCACATGATGATTCCGATTCCGATAGGCAGCTGATCAGTTCTACACCAATGCTGAGAATAGTCTTTCACCAACTTATTTAGCCTTTTCTACTCAACAGAAAGTGAATGCCGACCTCATTACTATTAATCGATGCTCAATGCGTACCCACTAAGTCGTACCCAGTTACAGGCGAAAGGAGAGGAAATGTATGTTCGTTTCCACAGTGATAGACCGAAGATGAGATATTGTAGTTGCGGTAGGTCCCTTGTGCATATATACAAAGTTTTGGCTTTTGTGAAAGAGGATAACAAGGTGTAAGTAGAACCAGCGTGAACATATGGATAGTTCTGATCGACAGATTGTCCCTATGCTGCAAATGCAGAGGAACACTTCAAAATTTACTTATTGTGAATGTGGTTTGTACCCAATAGCTGAATCGCCGAAAGTGCTCGCTTCGCTTTAATGGGTACTGAGTTCACTAAGTCTTCTTTCATAACGAATGAACTGGTTTTTCTCCGTAAGAGACTGATCACGATGGTTTAAGGACGTACTGGAATACTAGAGGTGCCAACCAATGCGCCCAATGTCTTTCTATACTTTGTTACCGACGTAGAAAGATCGACAAGTGGTCCTCAACTGGTTGATATGATCAGAGAAGTGCAAAAGGTACTTAGAGAGATCGATGTCAACAAAGAACGTTGTACGAGTTGTTCTAGACAAGACCTGAAACTCATACAGCATACATTCCAATATGGTGGCCTCACAATAGTGTATCTAACATTGCTAAAGGCATTAAGGTAAGTCAAAGAAGCTCGTTGTACATAGAAACTTCTACTCAGTCCTGACGATCCCAAGAATTTTAGAACTCACTGGATGCAGAGCCTATTTTTTCACACGGAGGCTTTGGTGACTTTGCTATGGAAGATGCAGAAGTAACTTGAACTTTAATTTTCACCATTTGGCGACGTGGACATGTAGGGAGCGGGGCACAGCAGAGCTAGGGGATCCTGCCGTGTAACGCCTTCCATTATCACGTCCTGAATCACTAGCCAGTATCAGTGTTTCCGTTTAGAAGGCGACAATCAAATAACCTATCATTCCAACTACTTCATGAAGCATTACCACCTGTTATCACCCTCTATCACTCGCTATACCTGCACTTGCTCCGCCCCTATGTCCTCCGTAAGAGGAGTAGTTCAGTGGTGTTCTAGCACTGGTTCCGAGAATTATGGGGCCGTTTGTGTCTAGCATTTTCTGTCAGACGTTAAACGTGATATGACGCAGGTATGGATCTGCGGTCAAACATACAATCCAACATACAGAGTGATACAGCGAATCGAATATAGATCGACTAGTTATCTCACTGTTTTGATCAATCATTTAACAGGCAAGCGCCGAGTTCAGCAGGAAATTCACTTCAAGTATTCAGCACTTTGACACAATAACCGTGTTCCATACTCCGGACACGACTAGTATGTGCGTAACTGACGACGTTTCTTCTCAAGCTGACTATCCTACAAGTCACTATAAAAGATGATGAGTCTTTCTTTTAGACAACGCATGGTTTTGAAGTCACCTCCTTTTAACGTGGCCCATATTAAATGTCCCTACACAGTGATCATTTACGACGACAAGAAGAAAATGCCGGTTTATTTTGGAAGGTCTCTCGACGTATACATCGCTTTAACATCTCTCAGACAATGCTTCTCCAGAATTGTACGCCCGAAAGCTGTGGATACGAAGACGCATAGCGAACGTGAGAAGGATGAAGATAAGCCAAGACCAAATCGATGGTGTCGCCTATCGTGATAGCCGTCAAAATGCTCGTTTTCAGACTTAGCTCTGTCACATATAACTTTCCATTGTAACTTCTAATCGGATGCACTAATAGACTTAACGAATCTATTCTCTGAAATTAAAAAAGTAAAATGTCAATTTTATGGTGTTGATCGCTTGCCACTGAGCGGCTAAAGCTTTCAGCAAAGTCTATCATTTTTCATAAAGTATTTTACTGTTACAACTTTAGAAACATAGAATCATACATACAGAATCGCAGTGAATTTCCAACCCAAGGTCGCTTCACTTTTACGACCAACCAGTAATATTGATCAGTTGCTCGTTTTGAAATCAATACTTATCTTATAGTACATGTGCTGGTAAGCGCACTGAAAGGTGGAAACCACATAAGATGCTGCAACGGGAAAGTGCCAAATTAGGGACTGCTTAAGGATCATTTAACTCCAATAAAAGGAAATACTTTGGAAAGACACACACTTAAAATCTCGCTATAATAAAGCGACAAAAAGATCAAACCAGTCAACAAGTCACCGCGACAACCTGATCCATGAACGTTTCAAGAAAATACCAAGGAGAACACCTGACAGTGAGAATAGAAAGAATTCGCTCCAAACAAATGGACAGTTCCGCCACAGCGAATGCAATATTTTGACTGAAAACGACCTGAAAAACACATTAAGAAGCCAAAATTGGTCAAAGCTTTCTCTTTGTGGGCAATCAACATGATACTCTTCCAGAACATCGAGCCTACTATGGATTACAGTTCAATTAAACTTTTTTAATAACAAAAGTGTCCACGTACTCAAAACGGAGACGAAAAAAAAGCGAAAACCTATAATCCACGTCATGCAGAGGACGAAGGAGATTCATATTGATCGAACGCACAGGAATCTTGTTTTCTTGCAAAAATTTACTGCGCTTACGTTCTGTTCCCAACCGTCGCGTTAGCCAATCGTTGTTCTTCGAGTTGCTTTGCAATTATGAGTCGAGCCTTGAAACATGAGAAGAAAAGGTGAAAAATCTGCTGTCGACAAAATGGTGGGCCGTTTTATTTGATTAGTCATTTCCTGGGTATTTAATTTGACCAGCAAATTAGTGTGCTACGTGACGGTGTTGCCGCCCACTGCAACATTGTCGTTGTCCTACGGTGCACTAAGGTTTGACTACTGTCACAAAAATCACGCGATGTCGTGTTTATATGACTTACTAGAAAAATTTCCGAGTTTTTTATTGTGCCAATTATTTTCCGTACAAGTCGTTGCTTTGAAAATACAAACTTACCTTGTTAAGTTCTCGAATATCTTTTATCTCGTCGTCCTCCACATAGAAAATGTGATCCGGAGCTATCTGGTACAACTGAAATCTGCTTCTTGAAAGTACCTCGTAAATGTCGATGAATAATCTCATAGAAAGGCCAGAATATTTATGATTTGAAGTCACGGTGAACACTGTTCATGAGTTGAGCCGCTGCAATATTTGAATGAGTTGGTCTTCAAGGAAGGTTGAAGATGTGGAGGACCACCTAACTGGAAATTACTGTAGCATGCTGCCACATTAAATAATTGCCAGCCTTTTTATCGCCACAAACCTGGCGACGTATGTGACAGTCGATCCCTTATGTGAAGTGACACATTGTTGTCTCCTTGAGGAAAACCTTCTAAACTCACATTGCCGACTCTTTGCCGCACTTCGATTTCGACAAGAAAGCGCTCGTCATTCGCGCTATCCGGATGCCCTCTCACGACGTGAAATTTGATTCTGGCTAGTCGTACAGGAAGACGGGGGAAAATTCCCGAGCTGGTACAGAAGTCAAATGCTTGCCGCATTCTGTCTCGTTGTTTTCTCGATATTTGGTAACCTATTACCTGAAAAGGAAGTGATACTAAAGTGAACACTCTTGACAACGAAGAGTACCATTTCTTCCAGTTTTGAAGTTCGTGACAAATGACTGGCACCACTCAAAAATACCATCGAATATCAGTAACTAATGAATAATAAATCATGAGTTACCTCGTTACCTGATCCAAGGCCAATCACCCACTGCAAGCGACGCTTGGAGTTCAAGGCAGCACAGATTACGGTTTGAATTGTACGGGTAGTCAACTCTCTAAGCCGCTGTGGTTCCCATGCGAGAGTCCAAGTATCCGGTTTAAACTGAAATCACAACCTGCAAAGTTTTCGTAGACAAAGCTTAATTCATAACTTGCCTTGTATTTAGCTCCATATGAGAACTTCTCGCAGACAAAATCCAATAACAACTCCTCCGTCCCCAATTCAGCGAGTTCCGAACAACAAGTACTTTTTAACTGTAATCTCAGAACTTCAACGAAAAAATTAAAATTAAAAAGCGAAGACAACACGAAAACCCACGTGATTTATACACTTCGAAACGTAGCACCTATGATGCGAAGCGGTGCGATACTGTTCATGCTTGAAAAATGGCGTGCTGTTGTGAGCTAAGTTAAATGAAAAAAAAAACAAAAGGCTGACTTTGTCGATATCGTCTGGATTTCTCACTTCCTCTCCAGTCACGAACAAGCGATTAGCACCGTACAAAGGTTCCATTGGTTTCCTTGATAAAAAGCTAACTAGTTGGCAGGCTCACAAATGTGATGGGTCGGGCCGAGCCAGAGGAAAATACGCAGTCATAGGCCGCGGAATGATGCCAGCTGTGACGTGCAGCAGTCCAGCTGGGGTGCAGCATACAACTGAAGGAAAATCATGAACTAACCTCTTTTTCTCAGAGAAATCCGTCTGATCGAGCAGATCGCTAAAGCTGCACGTCGCCTTAGCTGTCGATGCTGAATTTGCTGAGGTTGACAGCATGCAGCGTAATAGCGTTATTAATAGAACTTGAGTAAGATTTTGCAACACTACCAGGTTTTCGGAAGCTTGGAGCAAATACGACTTCCGTGTCTGGCGGCTCATCTTCGGAACTACGTACTTGGTCCACAGTCTCACCCAAATAAGGTACACATTCATCATCTCCCTGAACAAGTAATAAAATAAAACAGTATTAGCTCCGAGAGCCTCTTTATTTCATGAATGAAGGCAAGCAGACTGAGGTCTCGAACAAAACAACCAAATAAAATGCTATTTTTTCAGCGAAGATTTGTGAATGTTCTCAAAACGATGATTTTCTGAGCCGTGAATTATTCCTTTATGTGCCGAAATTTCTAATGAATTCCGAGATACTGATTAGATGTAAATTTATACAAAAAACTAAAGGCTTACAAAATCGTCACTTTCGTCCATAATTGATGATCCATCAAAATACACTGGAAATGGAATTTGAAACCAAGAAGAAGACCATCAAAGATGACATACCCTGGGCACCAAATCTCATTCCTTCATTTGGACTTTCGCGAAAAGAAGAGCGTAACCGAAGAATTGAATGAGAAGTGGGGCTCTAAAGCGGGAAAAATGCACATTCTAAGAAATTCAAGCATTACCAAATGAGAATGATCAAAAGGAATAGAAATAAATAGGTATAAAGCTATACCTCTTCGGTCGCAATGCTGCTTGGACTACTGATGCGTTGCGGTGACGAGCACATGCCCTTCGCTACTGAACACAAATCGACTCTTTGAAGAATGAGCTTCTCAATCTAATACAAGAAATCGTCGTCAACAAAATCCGGTCTGTATCTAAATTTTTGTCGAAACATTAGTAAAATGATTAATGGAGCGACACTTCCCGAATAGCAATATTCCACTAGTATAATACGAAGCAACAGCCAGAGGCAGCCATTTATTGGTCGCCTTTATACTCGGCGCTCGCCGATGACTGAAGGGCTGAATGTGAGGTGGTCGGCGCTGCGTTGACGCCGGAGCCGATCGATAAACCACGTGATCGGCAATCCAGCACAGTTGGAGGCCGCCATTCAGCTTAGGTGGGAGGCACATTGCAGAGATTCCATGAAGGCTAATTACTTTAGACTAGGATACGTCTAGTATAACTAGAACTAGTCAATGAAAACTACTTATGTAATCACGGTAAATACCAGGGGCCGTGCAGCTTCCACATCACCAATCTCATGGTCAGGTTCCAGACTGCCTTCACCCGTACTCAGATGGCTGGTTTCAGACTTCGACGATTCTAGCGAGCGGCTATGCGACGCGGCGCCCGAGAGGTGTTGACAACGTCGGACGCCGATGGATCACGAGATAGTTTTGTCAACAAGTGGTTGGCGCCGCCGTCGATCGAACGCATGCACTGAGGCACACCGGTGAACTCTGAAAGCCATCAGTGAGGTGAGGAGCGCCTTGGCCTTTCAAGGCGCCGATCGATACATATCACGTGATTGGTGATCCAAACGGCTTAAGCTCGGCTTCCGCTTCCTTGAGGCGCCCAAGCATGCCTACTCGGCTCGGCTCCTTTTTGCTCTATCAGCTGGCTGTACTAACATGGTAGTTCGGTGTGATTGTAGGTTTCAAAGAGGAAAAAGCGTTTGAGCACCTCGAAGGCTTGGAACTCCAACGTACATTGCATTGGTCGCCAATCACGTGATTTATTGATTGGCGCTGGCGTCAACGCTACGCTGACGCCCTTCGAGTATGTGGACGATAAGTGGTTTTCGCGCGACTTACTCCCAACACTAGTTTAGTAGGATTTTAGAATCCGAAGTGGTGGGAGCTTGTCACACGAGATCCTCTTAGATAAAAAAAAACGGGGCCATAAAACAATTCCTTCCTTATTTAGGAAAAAGTCAAGGTGAAGCAGAACAATTTGGTAGGTTACGATCGACTTTAGTCCGTGCCGATTCGGAGACCTCTATTATGCTTAAATCGAACAGACTGTTTATTC